GCCGCCGGATCAGCTTCAGGAGCCGGTCCGGATTTGGGCTGGTAAGGTGAGAGATCTGTCTTGCGACATGGAAGACGCTGTTGACGACTTCCTGGCGCGTGTGGGTGACGGTTCAGCCAGCAAGCCAACGGACATGAGGAGTCGAGTCAATAAGTTCCTCAAGAAGACCACCACATTATTTGGTAAGGGCAAAGCACTTCATCAAATCTGTGATGCCATCAAAGAAGCTCAGGATCTTGCCAAGGAGTTGGCAGAGCTGCGTAAAAAGTACGAGCTTGACATGCGTAGCACTAGCAATTGCGCTACCATTGACCCTCTTGTGTTAGCTCTGCACAAAGATGTAGGGGAGCTTGTTGGACTTGACCACACAAGGGATGAGCTTATCAAAACACTGATTTGTGCGGATGGGAGTTCCAAGGAGCAATTGAAGACGATCTCTATTGTTGGTGTTGGTGGGCTAGGCAAGACAACGCTCACAAAAGCAGTCTATGAGAAGATCAAAACCCAATTTGATTGTGTGGCTTTTGTCCCCGTGGGTCAGAACCCAGATATCAAGAAAGTTTTCAAGGACTTACTCTATGGCCTTGACAATGAAAAGTTCAGTGACATTCATAATACAACACGGGATGAAAATCTACTCATCAAGCAAATCAGTGATTACCTTGTACATAAGAGGTATGCATCTTGTAGTGCTTGTGTCCTTTTGTATATATTTTGGAAATGTGTGAAGTAGTGAGATTTATACTGAATTTCATATATTCATTCCTTATTTGTTATACTTTTATATCTGTAATAGTTTTGTTCTTTTTTAGCAAATTCTACTTTTTTCTTTTTTGTGCACACGCCTTATTTTTGTTATTCATGTATACTTTTAAGCAATTTCTGTTGCATTTCTTAATATTTTTGCATGCATATCCTTAGTGGTTATATAAGCCTTTGGTTTGCTTTAGTACCTTACAGTTTATCCTTGTTACAAACTTCAGTTGTATATAGATGACTTGCCAACTAATGATATCAAAATATTTGGCATAGGTACCTCATCGTAATCGATGACATATGGGAAGAAGAAATATGGAGATGTATAGATTGTGCTCTGTATAAAAACAAACTCCACAGTCGGGTAATCACAACAACCCGCAATGTGAGTGTGTCTAAAGCATGCCTCTCTTCCAGTGATGACACGATTCACAAAATGAAACCTCTTTCCGATGAAGACTCGCAAATACTCTTCCATAGAAGAATATTTCGAAGCGAGGAGAAATGTCCAGAAGATTTGCAGGTAGTATCAAGAGATATCTTGAAGAAATGTGGTGGTGTACCATTAGCCATCATTACAATAGCTAGCCTCCTCGTTAGTAATCAGCGGGTAAAGCCAAACCATGATTGGATGGATGTGTACAATTCGATGGGCCATGGAGTTACACAAAGTGATATTGCCAAGGATATGAATAGGATATTGTCACTCAGCTATTATGATTTGCCATCCTATCTGAAGCCTTGTTTATTATACCTAAGCATCTTTCCTGAAGACTTTGAGATTGAGAGAGATTTTTTGATATGGAGATGGCTTGCTGAAGGGTTTATCCAACGTGACAAAGGAGAAACCAGCCTATTTGAGATCGGAGAGACCTACTTCAACGAGCTCATGAACAGGAGCTTGATCCAGCCAGCAAAAATCAATGAGGAAGGAACGGTAGTAACTTGCCGTATACATGATATGGTCCTTGACCTTATATGCTCACTGTCAAGTGAGGAGAATTTTACCTCCATATTGGATAATGCTGAGTGGCATGCACTTAATCTGCAAAGAAAACTTCGCAGGTTATCACTTCATAATATCAAGGCAAAGGTTCAGAACCATCAGTTTGATAGCACTAGCCTGTCAAAAGTGAGGACCTTTGCTGTTTTTTCTCCTGTTACCTGTGATTGGTTGCCATCTCTCTCAAGCTTCCAATTTTTACGTGTGCTGGATCTTGGAAATTGTGGCAGCCGTAAAAGTAGCTCTGGTATCAGTATCAAGTATGTGGGGAATTTAATCCACCTAAGGTACCTAGGGCTCAGGTCTGCAGATATTGATGAACTCCCAATGGACATAGGCAACTTACATCTTTTGCAAATAATGGACATACTAAACACTGGAATAGAAGAATTACCTGCAAGTGTTGTTCAGCTAAGAAATTTGATATGCCTGTATGTCGATTCTAGGGTGAGGCTGCCAAAAGGAATGGGGAACTTGACATCCCTTGAAGTGCTGGACTATGTACGAGTATCCTCTTCACCTCACATTGTGAAAGAGCTGAGTCATCTGACAGAGGTTAGGACGCTCGAAATTGACTGGGCTAACATGGACGAGGATCTGATTGATGTATTAATCAAGTCTCTAGGCAACCTGCACAAATTGCAAAATCTGTGTATTGATAATGGCGGCAGATTGACAGATCGCATGAGTGAAAGCTGGGTGCCCCCTCCAAACCTCCGTAGTTTTGATTCATGGGACCCTAAGCTTCGTTCGTCGTTCCAGAGACTTCCAAAGTGGGTTAATTCAAGGTCGCTTCCCCTCCTCTCCACCCTGGAAATAGATGTGGAAGAACTGCAAGGGGATGACATTCAGATCATTGGGATGCTGCCTGCTCTTCGGTTTCTGCGGCTGCTTGTTCGTCGCGTGATGGGAACGTTGGTTGTGAGGGCCGATGCATTCCCATCTGCGAGGTGCTGCATTTTCAGAGGGTTTCCGACGGCGCCGTGCCTTTTTCCACCTGGAGCTATGCCGAGGGTTCAGCACCTTCGGTTCTGGGTCTCTGCGCGGTCGATCGCGAGTGGTGAGGTTGACTGCGGCCTGGGGCACCTCCCTTCTCTTGAGCATGTGGAGGTTCGTCTGCGGCATCAGCATTCCAGCGATAAAGAGATTGAGACAGCCAAGGCTCAGCTGAGGCGCGCAGCAGAAGCCCATCCAAAACGTCCCACCATTGAAATCATTTAGACACGAGTGGTGACTGACATGCCTCTGCCGCCAGGAAGGTAAGGTTCAGCTGAGCAACCATGAATTCTCTTTTCCTGAATATGCTCGTTGCCATATTATTTGATTTATCCCTCTTACTTTTCCAATTTCAGGCCTTCAATGTAATCCCATCAGTTGCCGCAGATACTGTTCCAACATTTTGAAACAACTCAAACCGCTGCAGCTCCCAATAACCAATGCGAATTCCGTCTTTTGCTACACGGAGGCTTCTGCACATTGTTCTGCAGAAATGCAGCACCTCATTTCCTTTATTATTCAGCCAAGACTCGTACAATTAAAGGTTGCATTCAGTTGGCACTGTTTGTAACACTAGTACCCCTTACGTTTTAATCTCCTCATTCATTTGCTTGTCCACCTACGACATTGTTTTGTTTCTATTGACTTATTAATGAAGAGTTGATCGGACTCCAGTTGGCTTGTTTTTGCTTTGATTAGCACTTACATTCAGTCAAGACTCCTACAATGAGAGCTCTTATACTCCCTCTCTCTCAGTTTACAAGGCGTGCACGTATCCATAGGTCATCAATTTGACCAACCTTATAGAAGTCATATATTACAAAAAACATACCATTATAAACTTTAGATGTTCTATTTTCAAACCGTATAATTTTTTTGTTATATAGTTTATATTACGGTGATAAAATTGGCAACCTAGGTATACGCGCAGGACTTGTAAACTGAAACGGAGGGAGTATTTCTTTACAGAGGGAGTAGTTGGTTAAACTCATGCTGTAGCTCCACATTTGCTTCATGTTGTTTTTTTTCAAGTTTTCTCTTCTTGCTGCAATTATTGTTTCGAGCTCGTGACAGAGAGTCACAAACGCTAAGATAGAATACCATACCACTATTGATCTTCGTGCCTTAAGATTACATACACAAGTGCAAAAATGATGACCAAATAAAACATAAGAACAATTATAGAATTTTGTAAGCAAAAAGCCCACAGCAGCCAACCACCGTTCGCTCGCTCCTGTTTCACATAACATCAACAGTTTCAATTACTGCCTCTTTCGGTTCCTTTGGAACAAATTTTCTTTCTAGATTATCAGTTGGACTAACGAGATCAATTCAATGGTGTATCTTTTTGTGGCAATACATATTCAACCGAATCGAATATCTACAACTAACAGACAATCAAATGGTATGACTGAGTGAGCCGAGTAGTAGGTTGCTTACAGGATTCTCCAAAGCTGGAAATCTACAAAGAAATAGACTCCCAAATCCTCGCAAAGGAATGAGATCGAGAACTGCTACAGACTGCTTCGCTGTTTTCACTTCCTCGTATATTCTTTTGGCAGATGATTGCCTCGGCTTGTATTGCAAGCAAATGCGATTAGGTTCGTGGCAATGGTGGATGATTACCACTATTGGTCTACATTCTAGTATTGTTGACGTTCTGCTGGAAATAACTGGTGCATAACTAGTGACTAAAACATAAGAATTCTACATCATTTCTTGGCCACAACAGCCAACGATATAATGATATAACTCACCAGCTCTCCCTCTCGGTTTTTCATTAGGCAGATACGGCGCACAGGGCCACAACTCTGAAATAGGGCCACAGCTTCAAACATCAAACACTAAACCAGTCAGTCCACATTCAAACACAATAGTCCAATCACAGTCAATCAGAGTTCATTAACCAGGACAACATTACATAATCCATAATCGACCACAATGTAAAAATCTCATGACGGCCACAGAAATTAGGCAGCCATCGTTCACGGACTATCGCATCTTACGGAAAACGCTGAAACATCTTTAAGCAGAAGGAAAAAAATTCCACATAAAACAACATACACAAGCACAAGAATCCATAGGCTACGCGGAAATTTGACCACTACAGCTCGTCATCTACCCTTAACACCCCATCTCCTTTTGATTCTCCAGGTGAGGCAATTATTTACAGCTAGCAACATTTTATGGCGGCAGGAGGACCGAAAACTTTCCATATGAATGAAGCCGATCAAAGTAACTCCAGCTACTGGTAATCAGGGTTGAACGCGATGCCCTCTTGGTGGATTAGATCCTTCATTTGTTCTTCCGACAACGCATGCTGCTCGAAGTCAAAGCTGAAGGGCATCGTGCAGACTGGCTCATCACTTATGTCATGCAGCGATGCCAAGTAAGGATGCGCAAGTGCACCTTCAACTGACCAAAAAATAAAGGAACAATCAGTAACTATCGATCAATAACTGACCAAAAAAATAAAGGATGAATCTTGGAGACAGATATTTTGCAGTCAAAACTATGGATTGTCAACAATAGAAACACCACCCAACAGGCAACAATGATTACTTTAGCATTCCCACTTCAAACTAATGACCTTTGCATACCTACAGAGAGTATGGACACGTTCCTACCCACTTGGGCTGTAAATCCAGCCCAATTTAATTACTTTTTTTTCATTTGAATGGAGGAACTGATGTTAGCTAATGATATATAGAACGAAACACTAGGATGGCATACCCAGATGAGATTCCAGTTACTAATATTTAACAAATGGAGCAAGTTCTAAATTAAACTATTCATGATACAAAAAAAGGACGGCTATTTTTATCTTGCTGTTTGGAACATAAGATCGTCAATCTTGTAGCAACAGTAAATCCCAGCAGATGGATGCGGACGGTTAAATCACTAGAACACATGCCAAAACTTGCCTGTTATTCTCTGTCTAGGATCGAAAGTCAGCATCTTTTCAACCAAGTCAATTGCTGAAGGGTGAACATGTGGAAACTTCTCAGATAATGATTGCCTTGCATGACGGGGAAGTTGGCGGATATATCTTCTTGCGTTTTCATTTACAAAATCCAAATCGGCCTCATTTGGTGTTCCAATGAGCTGCAGCGAGGAAATACCACAAGGGAATTGAAAATGAATTAATGTGCACCAGAAAAGTACTTATTATATATACCAGAAAGTGCTTAAATACCTCTATTATGCTAAAACAGGATCACACAACATGATTTAAATTCGATGTAAAAGAAGTTCATAGGGTACTTTCTAACCTCCATTAGTAGGCGTAGCTGATGGACATGGTCCCTTCCCGGAAACAAAGGTTTCCGATCCATCAGTTCCATAAATATACAGCCCACAGACCACACATCAATTGCTGCAGTATATTCAGAGGAGTTCAACAGAAGCTCTGGTGCCCTGTACCATCTTGTCACAACATACTCAGTCATAAAATCAGTTTCTGAGGTGGTACGAGCAAGTCCAAAATCACAAATTTTTAGGTCACAGTTTGCATTCAATAGAAGATTGCTAGGCTTCAAGTCTCGGTGGAGAACATTTGCTGAATGTATATACTTCAAGCCACGAAGGATCTGATAAAGGAAATACTGCACAAAAAAGGAACAATTACAAAAAACATCCATATCAGATTAAGGACAATTTCTCAGAACAAGACAGAAATTTGCAGATTGAAAAGAAACTGGAAAGAACAAGATCAACAGAAGAGAAATAGGTGACCATTCCAGAAATCCACTGATTTCTCATGTATGACTTAGCGTCAACCTTTTTTATGCTAGAAACCCGAGTAGGCGCTGACAACATGGGCATACTATAGCAAACAGTTTTCCATGGAACTTTTCCACCAAGGATTATCCAATGGTATTTGGGGAAGTAGAACATGATTTAGTATCAGCTAAACATGGTATTGTTAACAAAAGAGACAACTCTGATATCGAGAAAGCACTTCTATTTAGGGAATCATCCATTAGCAATGACGATGCATGGGTGTGTTTGACAAAGAATAGAAAAAGGATTTACTAGCATTAAGCTGTATGCTAATATGTCAGCTCTCATGTGCTATACATGATGAACTTGTTCAACTGCTCCCTTTGCTCGACCAAATGTTCAGAGGTGCATTGATATATGGAAGCTTCTAAATATATTGTATCATTTCTAAGAGGTGTGATACAGTAAGGTACTTCTCAATATTACAGTTCACCTATGTCGAAGCACGGATCCAATTTCCATTGTATTACAAAGAAGCAAAACATAACAGACAGTCATCAAACATACCCCAATAATTCCACCACTAACATCAATGTTTATAACATACATCAGGCAAACTTATTTAGAGCACGTAGACCTAGACTAGCAAAGTAGCAAGATGATTCAGACCGACCAGAAAAATAAGAAAGGTCGCAAGACTTATAGTTATTACTCATTAACTCCCAGAATACTAATATCTGGCAGAGGTATGTATGAGGCTGAGGCAAAAAATAAAATGAAACAGAGAATTAATAGTATAATGTACTCGAGGAATCAGATGAAGTGAGATACAGGAGACAAGAATTTCTATAGCCAAACAATAACATAATTAGATAAGCTAACTTGTCCTACAAAGCGGGAATGAGAAGGTTTTGCTTTTATACCAAGATAACTTATAAGTACCTGGCAGTGCTCCTCCGATAAAGCTTGATTTGAGCGAATAATTTGATGCAGATCGGTGTCCATCAATTCATATGCAATATAGACATCATTGAATGCAGTCCTCTGTGCAGGAGGTATAATATCCCTTATTGCAACAATCTGCATAGAAACGGACTCAGGTAAGCAACATATTTTGTAGCATTAATCGATACTTGATTTATTTTTCTTTCCAAAAAGGCAATAATTATGGTTCAGTTTTTTCCACATGCCTGAGATAATGTTTAGTTTTTACATCTTGCATTTGACATATCTGTACTTTCTTTCGATGGATTGAGTCAGCTCTATCTTTCATCTTGAATGAATTGAAATAGTCAACAGGTCATGGAAAGCTGAAGAACGCATACACTGTCATTTAACTTATGTTTGCTATGGTTGCAGCTGGCATATCTGTAAGTTCTTTCGATGGCTCGATTCAACTTTATCTTTCATCTTGAATGCATTGAAATAATCAACAAGTCATGGAAAGCTGATGAACACATACACTTCACTTAACTTATGTTGGCTACGGTTACAGCTGAACCAAGTTGTGTGGAAACTTCTACCAAGTGGAATTTCCATTTCAAACTTGTTTTTGGACACTACAAACCCAACATTTGTTAGAGCTGAGATGAACCCAATGACACTTTGATGAGGTGTTGACTTCTGTTTTAGGTTAAACATGTTTTTGAAGATACAGTACTCTACAACAACAGCACAACATAAGTAAATTGACATCATATTATTAGCACAATCATAGCAATATTTTATTAATTTTCACCAAAAAGATAATAGAATTACGATGTCCAGAAAATGAGGCAAATGAATAATGATTATTGAGAATCTGCAGCTGGTAGTACTTCTGACAGCACCATATGAAATATGATTCAAAGATGCAAGTGGTGGTGATGACAACCTAATTTATTTATTTATTTTGCTTGTTTGAAGAGTGAAGGGTGTAACCTTTGCACATTTCCAACTGCCTTTCGTAGCAGTGCAAATACCACAAATATTACACATTCAAAATTTCAAAGCAGCCGAAGGCATAAATACTTGGTATGGGAGTCAGAACAAAACAATTCTGGAGATTTCCATTTTTTATTTGTTTGTGCCCTATGTTCTTATGTTCCATTGTAAACCATCTTCAAAACCCTTGTGACTAACTTGAACACAAGGCAGCACTATACCAGCTGCATATGTTCCACATAGCACATGAGCATTATAGGAAGTTCTGACCAGTTCTTACTGCTTAAAGAATGGATATGACCAGTTGTTGCTGCTTAGAGCATGGATATGAGAGCACAACTATAGGAATAGGCTCTATAGGAATATCATAGGAATAGGAAAATCATAGGAAGTGAGATGAAATGTATCTCAATTCCTATAGGGAAAGAGATGTCATTTGATGCATAGGATAGGAATTTTTCCATTGAGTCTTTTCCTTTGAAATGTTAAGGATTGGTTCCTATCCTACATACGAATAGGAGGAATCCATTCCTACAAACGGAAGGGCTCCGAAGGAATTTTGTGCTTTGAAAATCCTATCCTATAGAATTCCTACAATATTCCTACTAACCAAAGGAGGCCTAAGAGTTAAAGTACGTATGTGTAGAATACAACAAACAAGATACAAGATATAAGTAGGTAGCTAGCATAGATAAAACAAGTGCATCAACCAAATTAGTTGCGGTAAGCTGAATATTACTTGGCTTCGGAAGTAAACAACAGGCAATTTCTAGCTGCATATGTTCCCTGGTGAAAAAATGCATTTGCAATTTTCCAAAAGAGAGGGGAAATTTTGATGTACATTGTGCAATATTATGTGTACAAGCAAAAACTTGTGCAAAGGTATGCATTTTTGTACACATACTTTTGTACAGGACTAAAGGTATATCTACAAAATTGTTCCCTTTTTTGAAGAAATGCAAATGTAATTTTCTGTGCCTTTGGGACCTGGAGGGAGAACAAAATTCGTGTCAGCAAAAAAAGAGGCTTTTCCCTTGCATAATCTAAGGGTTCTAATATAGCTACAGGAATACAGGATCTCCAAATCTTTATGGCTTTATTATTATGTCTCACCCTTTTGGGGGGTTCACATGGAGAATAAGAATGAATAAGACAGCATCACAGTTATGGAAAGTTTTGGACATAAATAGGTGACAGGGAGCCGCATCACCTGCCATATAGCTACTATAAAGGCAAATGTGTGCCATTAGTGGTCCTGTGCATTGTTTTCCTCTATGGTCAGGATGTTTTCTCCTGTGCTATGGTTCTATCACCAGGCCTTAAGCCCACTGGAAAGTCCAATTTGCTTCCTGGCAAGGTAATGTGGCTGTTGCTCTGTCCGTTCATAAAAGTTAGCTATTGAGCCGCGCACTGGTGCTGCCACGCTGCCCATTTCAGCTTTTCTGCCAGCCACCAACCACTGTCTCAGATACCTCTTGTCAGGAATGCTCGTTCGCACCACCAAAAGAAAAAAACAAAGTACAGGATCTCATAACAGAAAAATTATGCCTTTATAGTGGCTGGTAGATACAGCAGGTGATACGTTTACAGCTGACAGTGTATAAAGCACGTGTCGACAAGCATTTCTGTTACTAATCAGACCTTGCCAAATCCGACGTTTCAGTACTAACAGTCAAAATTGTTCGACGGTCAAACTCCCAAAGAAGTTTGACTATTTCAGTGGAGCATTAAAATGTGAAACCCTTAGCTTACGTAGGATACTAGCCCAAAACCAGTTTCATTCTGAAAACCTTCCACGAGAATACACAATCTGCAAACAACAATGCTTGATGAAACAAAGAATAGAAAGCGGAAGGGGTCCCATTTGTGCATAGACCTCAATACCTCATGAGAAATCTCTTCATGCACTTATTGCTAGCAGAGTACTTATCGTCATCTAAACTTCAACTCCGCAGATCTCAGAGCATATGCTGTGGTGCCCAAGGCGGGCTGTCAAGATACTATCCATCTCTAGTCTACTCCTAGCACAGCGGTCATTTCAAAATACTTTTTTTCTTCTCAAATACGCGCCAAAACATGAGTCATTTATATTACAAGAAGAACACCAAAGCTTTTTACAGAAGGCACATGAATGAAAAGACCCAAGATGGCTAACTCAGATGTAGGTTCCTTCTCTTACTTAGTTTAGTTATCACAGGACATTAGAAAGATCCAAGTCCAACATCCTAATAAGAACTTTCAAACAGTAGTAGCCCCCCTAGCCTAGGAACTGCGCATTCACTTCCACCACACACACACCCACTGGATTCGGAGGAGCTAGGCAGCAAAAGGGACACAGGCAGATAGATTGGTCCTGAGGCAGCTTTTGACATCAGCAGAATCTAGCAGTAGGAGTGAGGGCATCACCAAGTGCTGCTGCTCCAGGTGTGCCGAGGAAGAACACAATGAATCGCATCCCAAAAGGTTGGTGGGTTCTTTAAAGGCGCGCCTACGATTGCTATTCCTGAAGCTCTCGCGCAAATGAGGAAGGAAAAGCCGGCCCCGGAGTAGGCAGCCGGCCACGGAGCTGTCTGTCGGCGAATCCAATCATTCAGCGGCTAAAACCTAACCGAACCCATCCACCTGCCGTTCCATTCAATGCAACCAACCAGCACAAGGAGCATTCAAGGAGATTCTCCGAGAGAGAAAAAAAATGGAGGGAGGGGCGGATCGGGGACTTACATTCTCGTGGTCCATGTGGCGGAGCAGCTTGATCTCCCGCAGCGTGCGCTTGGCGTCGATCTTGTTGTCGAAGGCGTTGGCGATCTTCTTGATGGCCACCTGCTCCCCGGTCTCGGAGTTGAGCGCGGAGCTGCCACGCGCCGGGGGTCAGTGAGTCGGTCAGCCGGCCGGAGATGGGGATGGAGGGGAAAGAAAGGGGAAGGGGGCGTACCAGACGATGCCGTAGGCGCCCTTGCCGATGGGGAGGATGGGGGGCTTGTACTTGGCCGTGACCTCGAAGATGTTGCCGAAGATGTTGTACTGGATGAACCTCCCGCCGTGGGTGAGCGTGGCCTGGATGTTGTCCATCGCGCCGCCCGGCGCCGACCCCGCCGCGGCCGCCGCCGCGGCGCCGGCCTCCGCCATCTCCGCGTCCGGCGGCTGCGCCCCGCCGGCGTCCATCTCCGCCCGGATCGCGCGCGTGGGGGGTGCGGGGAGGGGAGGGGAGAGCCCGTGCGGTGGATTTCGCTCGCGAGATTTGGTCGCTTTCCGCCTCTTGTTTGTTTAGGTGGTGTGGTAGCTCCCCTCTCTCTCTCCTTCAGTTTCTGGGCTCGGGATGGGATGGGGCTGCCGTGCCGGCCTACGGGTGGGGGAGGGAGGAGATGGCTGGCAGCGCGCGTGCGAGTTGCGAGTGGGAGTGGCCGGCTACTATGGGAAGACGGCTTTTTTACTCCAAGTGGGATGGGAAATGGGATGGGGCATCAACCTTCTCCGGAGAAAAGAAGCTCATCATGCCTACCTATGTGCATCCCTAACCCTAGAAAAGAGAGCTACAGCCCATCCCTAATTGCGTTGTAGTGTGTATAGATCCGTGAAATGGATATGGTTGTGGTGATGATGGTGGCGGTTGGGGACTGCGCATCGCCACCGGTGTGATGATGGGTGTGGTGCGGTCGAGGGCGCCTTCTCGACGATGTCGGCGCTGACTGGTGTGTGTTTTTTCACCTTGTGTCCGCACGTGGTCGTTTGATGTGCGGGCGGATGCGTCTATACTATTTATAGGGGTAGGACGCATCGCAGTTTGTTTGTGGCTCGGGTTTCCGTGATTTGGGTTTCCCAACACCTATTAGTATATGGGAGCTAGGAAGGGAACAAGATGAAATGGAAGTCTTTCTTGTCCACGCCCATGCTTGACAAGATGTGTGACATCATCACCAGTGGGGTGAGAACTAACAAGGGCTTCATGGAGGTTGAAGAAAATATGCCCTAGAAGCAATAATAAAGTTATTATTTATTTCCTTATATCATGATAAATGTTTATTATTCATGCTACAATTGTATTAACCGGAAACATAATACATGTGTGAATACATAGACAAAACATAGTGTCACTAGTATGCCTCTACTTGACTAGCTCGTGAATCAAAGATGGTTAAGTTTCCTAGCCATGGACAAAAGAGTTGTCATTTGATTAACGGGATCACATCATTAGGAGAATGATGTGATTGACTTGACCCATTCCGTTAGCCTTAGCACTTGATCGTTTAGTATGTTGCTACTGCTTTCTTCATGACTTATACATGTTCCTGTAACTATGAGATTATGCAACTCCCGTTTATCGGAGGAACACTTTGGGTGCTATCAAACGTCACAACGTAACTGGGTGATTATAAAGGAGTACTACAGGTGTCTCCAAAGGTACATGTTGGGTTGGCGTATTTCGAGATTAGGTTTTGTCACTCCGATTTTCGGAGAGGTATCTCTGGGCCCTCTCGGTAATACACATCACTTAAGCCTTGCAAGCATTACAACTAATGAGTTAGTTGTGAGATGATGTATTACGGAACGAGTAAAGAGACTTGCCGGTAACGAGATTGAACTAGGTATTGAGATACCGACGATCGAATCTCGGGCAAGTAACATACCGATGACAAAGGGAACAATGTATGTTGTTATGCGGTCTGACCGATAAAGATCTTCGTAGAATATGTGGGAGCCAATATGAGCATCCAGGTTCCGCTATTGGTTATTGACCGGAAACGTGTTTCGGTCATGTCTACATTGTTCTCGAACCCGTAGGGTCCGCACGCTTAAGGTTTCGATGACAGTTGTATTATGAGTTTACATGTTTTGATGTACCGAAGGAGTTCGGAGTCCCAGATGAGATCGGGGACATGACGAGGAGTCTCGAAATGGTCGAGACGTAAAGATTCATATATTGGATGATATGGTTAGGCCAAGGGGTCAAGCCCATGAGGCTTTAGGTCGGTGCAAAAAGAGTTTTGCGGAGGCCAGGAGGCCAAACGCCGGAGACCCTGGCGTCTGGCCCTGGGCCAGACGCCGAGGCCCATGGCGTCTGGGCCAGACGCCAAGGATTGTGGCGTTTGGTCCTGGAGTCCGAGTGGGACTCTTGCCTTTCTGGCAAAACCGACTTTGAGGAGGCTTTTGCTCCAAGTTTCGACCCCGGGGCTCAACATATAAATAGAGGGGCAGGGCTAGCACCAAAGACACAACAATTGATCCCTTGGATCTCTTAGCCGTGTGCGGTGCCCCCCTCCACCATAGTCCACCTCGATAATATCGTAGCGGTGCTTAGGCGAAGCCCTGCGACGGTAGAACATCAAGATCGTCACCACGCCGTCGTGCTGACGGAACTCTCCCTCGACACTCGGCTGGATCGGAGTTCGAGGGACGTCATCGAGCTGAACGTGTGCTAGAACTCGGAGGTGCCGTAGTTTCGGTGCTTGATCGGTCGAGCCGTGAAGACGTACGACTACATCAACCGTGTTGTGCTAATGCTTCCGCTTTCGGTCTACGAGGGTACGTGGACAACACTCTCCCCTCTTGTTGCTATGCATCACCATGATCTTGCGTGTGCGTAGGAATTTTTTTGAAATTACTACGTTCCCCAACAGAGGTGCACCTCAACTCTATTGCCAAGCAGATCTTTGAGTTGTGTGGCAAATAGATGACCTCAATCCAGATCTACAAGTACCTCGGGAAATGAAGAGATGGATGTATCCAATTGTCCAAGCTTAGAGATCTTAGCGGCGCACAATGGGATCGGGGCACCTTCTCGATCCAGTTGGAGGAAGAACACTACTAAGGCTACCTTACGGTTAGCTAGCATAACACTTGTTTCGCTTCTCTAACATGCCAATCACAACTAGCAAAGTTGTCTTTCTTTCTGAGGACTACCCCAAGAATGTCGGGATTCTCAACACTCCTATTCAGAACTACTTTTAGATGCATACCATCTTTTCCTGGGGTCAGGTTACTGGCAAGCATGACATGGGATCCAGTGAACCTTTCGGTTCTCCTATGCTTGAGTATTCAGACACCCAGGAGTCCAAGACCATCATCCTTGATGGCTCTGAGAAGGCAGGTGACGGTGGTCATTGTCCTGCTCATTACTCCTATAAATGATGTTGAAATCCCCGCCTCCTGGGCCCTTCGAGGGCAAGAGTGCCCTCCATGTCGTCCGTTTCGGCGTGGCTTGTCACGTGCACCACCCTGGGGCTATTCGCGTCGTCCGATCTGCCCAGACGGCGCGCACCCGGGCGACCCGCCTCGACGGGCCATGATTGATGGACCGCGGGCGCGCCCAAGGCCACCGTCATGGGGTGACTTTGGTGGTGCATGCAAGTAAGACCCGTGCGCAATGGGGAGACCGGACCCGCCTGTCAGTGTGCTCGCCTAGTGTCAGGCCGGTGCGGTCACAACCGGCTGGGTGTGCGCCACCGGTCAAGCTTGAAGAGAGAAAACTTGAGATGAAGATCGCTTTTGAAGAATTTAAAAAACTTGTTGAACATCTGGCGCTTTTATTAGGATTTAAAAGTGTGGTTGAATTGCTCTCGATCAATGGTACAAGGCGGCATGGCGGGCATATGGTTTTAGCTTTATTCTATTTTTTCTAAAAATGGAGTGGACATTTAATGCATCAGGTTGGATTGTCGGCTCTGCTAACACCGTCAGCGGACGTTTTGCGTGTTCGTTTTGATGGATGACGTTGGAGATGACCGTAGTATTGTTTGTTAGGGGGATTGAAAATTGAGAAGAGGTTAGGCATGGGAGTTGAGACTCCAACTCCCATCATTTTATTAACAGGGGAGGGTGGGAATTGGAAGAGGTTTTGTAGCAAGTTCATCTTAATCCTTCATCATAATTTACGTTATCTTTCCTGATCTATTCTCTCGTGAGTTCTCACGAACCAAGCAAGGGAATAATGTTTCCCCTAAATTCTCACACATATTTCCTATCATGCGTCATATTGAGGTCTGTGAATTAAATGTAGAATACTATGGAGAAGCGTTCTACCCTCTGGAGAGGGCTGCGTGGGGTATTTATTGAATCAACGGGGCTTATCCCATGGTGGCGCGTACATAACTTGGAGTACAAGACATAGAGGGATAGAGATGAATTTAAACCGATTACAATCATATCTCTAACCAACAACTAACTCTAACAGAAACATGCCATGCGCCAGATGAGATATTCCAACACACACCCTTAATCACAACTTGACCAAGTTTTGATTACGCCCGAATTCCTCAAAAGCTCTTGTAGGTAATGCCTTCGTGAAGCCATCTACAATATGATCTCCTTAGTGAATAAAGCAAATGTCCAACTGTTTGTTGGCAACCCGTTCTCTCACAAAATGAAAATCCATTTCAATATGTTTTGTCCTGGCATGAAAAACTGGATTGGCAGAAAGATATGTAGCACCAAGATTATCTCACCATGTGCAAGGAGTTTGCACTTGTGTTACTCCAAGCTCCTTCAGTATGGACTGAAGCCAAATAATCTCTGCAGTAGCATTAGCAAGTGCCTTGTATTCAGCCTCAGTACTAGGCCTAGAGATAGTTGTCTGCTTCTTAGTACACCATGATATTAGATTTGGACCAAAAAATATTGCAAAGCCACCTGTCAACTATGCTTCCAACCCAGTCAGCATCAGTGAATGCACTAACAAGTGTGGACTTAGACCTGCAGAATATTAGTCCAACACTGATTATGTGCTTTATATATCTGAGAATACGTTTAGCAGCAATCCAATTGAAAGTGGTGGGTGCATGCAAGAACTGACAAACTTTGTTTACAACAAAGAAAATATCTGGTCTAGTAAGAGTTCAGTACTGAAGAGCACTAATCATACTTCTATACTGAGTGATGTCCTCCTGATTTAGGGGCTCACCTTCATGCAGAGACAGATTTCCTGAGCTAGAAATGGGGTTGGTGAAGGTGTCACATCCCTAGTTCTGGTAATGCCTAGTGCTAGCATCTGGTGTTGCATCATGTTTAACTCTCCCAGAAAGTTGAAGTGGGGATGACAGAACCACTAGTGCAGAACCGGGCTTTAGTGCCGGTTCGTGACGGCCTTTAGTGCCGGTTGGCGAACCGGCACTAAAGAGTGGGGACTAAAGGCCCCCCCCTTTAGTACCGGTTCGTCACGAACCGGCGCT